CGTCTCTCTCTACCGGGTCTTTTACTCCCTGCATTAACCCTATAACTACAAAAACAGCACTTTCACAATGATTATAAAGTCTGTGTGCTACACTACATTCTTTATTTTTAAAACAAGTAATTAGAACAAAGACAGTCTACATTAATCGACACATTCTTAGGAAATAGTGGGTTCACAGCGAATTATCAGAACTATTTCGTTTATAACTATTGGATATTTTGAGCACTCAATTGAAAATGTACACATAACGTATCAATCGTACTTACAGGTTGTGGTTCGGAGAAGCTTGTTGGTCCAAATAAAGAAGATTAGAAGCCAACAAAGATAAAGGGCAAGATTAGAGAAGCAGTCCTCGGTAAAATGACGAGCACAACAAAAGGTTCAAATTGTATTGCTGTGGTATCGTGGAACACAATATCTTCTCGACACAGAGAGCGTTCGTATTTCGTGGGCAGGCGAGGATTATGCTAATGTGTTACCCGGTGACGTAGATCGGTAGCAGGCAGAAGATTCGAAAATATAACGACTCGTTGAGGCGATTCTGAGTCGACTCTTTCTTTTGAGAGACAATATCTTTATTTATCATGCACTTTTTTGATTAACAACTTTGCAGATTGTTTTCATTTAAGGATAGCTACGTTATAAACGCAGAAGATTCGAAAATATAACGACTCGTTAAGGCGATTCTGAGTCGACTCTTTCTTTTGAGAGACAATATCTTTATTCATCATGCACTTTTTTGATTAACAACTTTGCAGACTGTTTACATTGAAGGCTACCTTACAAACTGCAAAAGAGATATTTTTCGAAAACCCATATGACCTGCTCTTTAACATACTATCTCTGTATTTAAAATATGTATTTAGTCACCACTTGTAGTACACTTGAGTGTACTAGTGTATGAAAGATGGGTTCAAGTGAAAAATTTAAAAGCCCTGCCGGACTACTGAGCATCAAGAGTGACATATAAACAGCTAAAAAGTATGAACGAGTAAATTACCTTCACTCCAGACTTGCTTCATTTTAAAGCAAGTAATTTATCTTTGTATAAACTACAATATTAATACTACAGTAGGCATTATCTTCTCACATGCAGAATACACCTACAGACTAAGCAAGTGCCTTTTAAAGCACATCCCATCATTTAACTTCAAAAAATCCATAAAGACACACAGAGGTGACTTTAAAGCAAATACTGAGCGCAGTGTTGGCATTATCATCTTGCCACAATACCTGGAAAACCTTTCAACACTGGCACCATGCCGACTGCCGAGGCTTAGCTGTCACGGTCACACTCCCACACAGTCTTGCCCTTGCCCAGCAGAAAAGCCATGCCAAACACACAGGAGGGATTTAAGTTCCTCCATTACTTAATCTTCGAGGCTCTGTATGTCCCTGGACTGGGGCTGAATGACATTAATGTCCTAAGAGCACAGCTGGGCTGATGAAGACTCATTTAGGATTGGGAATCTCACAGTATTACACTAGTATATCACATGAAGCACACTGCTGTAAAAGCTTTCGGCTGTAGGCAGAGCACTTTACAGGCAAGTGAACTGTAGTCACTTTTAGAAGACAGCCTAATTACGTTTACAGGGCTGTGGCTTAGTATGACTTATACAAATGTCATATTGGCTCAGCTGGTCACTAATTGCAGTATGTATCACCCTTCAGTTCTGAAAGCCTTCCGACAGTATGAGTCAAGCCTGGATGTAGTACTGACAGCTATTTCAAAAGTGCATTGTGTCGCATACAGATCGTAATGTGTTTGAAATCCAACCATTTCTTTAAAGCAAGTTTCAAGTTGAATGTAGAGAATGTGAATCTACGGCCGCAAAGATACAAACGGCACAGAAAATGTTTTAATAAACTTCATAATAAATGAACATCAGCCTTGCCGCTCTGAGGTATTAATCCTACTCATGATGAAACCTCTGTATCTGAGATTTTTTCTGCCTGTTATTCATAAAAACAAGTTTCTGCCTCAGAGTGAAAAAAAAATGAAAATCGTGACGTATAAAAATGAGTCACTGTGAGATATAAAACCACAGTTACAAGAAATAAAGACCAATTTATGAGAAATAGTGGCAATTGTGGCAAACTTAAATCACTTAAATAAATCTGGTATTAAGGACCAAAAAAGGAAGGTTCAAATTATTTCTTTTAGAGAGTATATTTATATATATACACATAAGTTCTAGTTTTAGGACATTGTTTTATAATTATTCTTTACAGCTAGTTTAGGTGGATTTATTGTTTGATTCAGGATGAGAGCTGGCTAAGGTTACATCAACACCACAAACTGTTGAATGCTACAACACAAAACAGAAGAAAAGTTGCTTACCTAATGACAAAGTCATGTGAATCAATCTCTCTGCCGCAGCTGCTATTCAGTAGTATCCCAGAGTTCCCTACGATGGCACATTGTTTGTAATGCTGGTTCTTCATGGGAGACACAGTCGGCAAAAGGTGGTACAGGTTCTCAGAGATGTTTGTGGTGCTCTGGCGGTCAAATATATAATGAATTACATCCCCGGGTTTAAAGGTGCTCTTAAGAATTGAGATGTCCCTCTCAGCATCCAGGAACCTCAAAATGTTTTTCCTGGAAGGAGAATGAAAAACAACAACACACTTTATGAATGCTAAGGGATTAAAAAACAAAGTATTAACAGGGAACCACATTCTTTAGAAATGTCATACTGTGCATTTGAATAAATTCAAGCCGTACCTGATGAGGTTAGACAAGGTTCTGTTGAAAGTCCATTCTGGTGAGAATGAATTGCTGGTTTTGCTCTTCATGCCTGGCAGTGGAATTGGAGAAGAAGAGACTTTGCTCTTTCGATAGGTGACTAGTGAAGTAGGAACAGTATTCAGGACTGAATTTCTGATGGAGGAAAAAGACCATGTTTATGTGCATGTCTGCCAAACATCACTGTTAGACACAGCTACAAATAACAACATCTGTCACCTCACAAAATACTGGCAGCTATGTTTAATGAATTCTTGAAACCCTGATAAATCAGTAATATGAAAAAAATTTTTTTTAAGTACATTTAAATAATTATAAACAATTAACATGCAAATAAACTGAAAATAGAATACATTTACATTTAACGTTTCTTGCTTTAGGTCTATAACACTGAGAAACAGACTTAAATATGTGGTTGTAAGCATCAATGACATTTTCTCACGAAAACACCATAAATCATAAATGATATAACAAATCAGATTACAAACCTGTTGGACTGAAGGACAAAGCGAAACTTCTGTGAATCCTCAATGTTCCTAAGAGCAGAAGGCATAAAATATTCATCATCATTATCCAGTAATATGACCATTAATAATGCTCTCTGAGTAGATAATTGAGGTAAAGGCAATTAGACCCTGGACTGGAAAAATATATGAAATTGAATTATGATGATGTTTATTTAGGACTTAATATAAGCCGTTCCACTTCTAAACTCTTTAGAATATTTTGATAGTACAAACACAAGGTTATGGTTATTACCGATTAATCATTTCATAAAAATAAAGTGTCCGAATATTTACTAGAGGAATCACCTTAAAGGAATAGTATACTCACCCTCAGGCCATTCAAGATGTAGATGAGTTTGTTTCTTCATCAGAACAGATTTGGATAAATTTAGCATTACATCACTTGCTCACCATGTGTTGAATTTGTTCATTATAAACATGCAACTTTTCACATCACAAGATAACTGATGGACTGGTGTCTTGTGGATTAATGTGATGTTTTTATCAGCTGTTTTGACTCTTATTCTGACGGCACCCATTCACCGCAGTGGATCCATTGGTGAGAAAGTGATGTATTGCCAAATTTCTCCAAATCTGTTTTGATTAAGAAACAAACGCATCTACACCTTGGATGGCCTGTGGGTGAGCAAATTTTCATTTTTGGGTGAACTATTCCTTTCAGACATAACGGCAAGGATAATAGGTAACTGACATCATGCCGTTCAAACCACCTCTTCCTGCAGGGTGCCCCCCTTCAAAGCAGTTAGGACAGGATAGCATTGTCTCCTTCAGCAAATCAGTCCTATTTGTCTACCACTTACTGTAATGTTCTCCATGTTTCCCTCAAAGTCATGGCTACGAGCATTATTAAGCAGACAGAGCACAGATCTCTTAAAATTCTGGGGAGCAGCTTCAAATGCAGATTTAATAGTGGTGTTGCTTCAAAGCGTTTATAACGGCTCTGAGATATACCCCTTAGATCCTTTGTTTGATATGGAATTATATTCTAAATTGCAATAAATTATAAATCTCGCCAATAACTTAAGCAAAAATGAGATCATAAGCATCATCTAATGCCTTCTGACTGCTAGTAAATGAGGTGTGAAATTTCCAAATTGGGATTTTACAATTCTATTTTGTCTCTGGGATATTTTGGGTTAGCAAATATGAGGGAGGAAAATATTCCCTTTCCACGCTTAATGGATAAATAGTAATCAGTGCAGCAGAAATGTGAAATACAATCTCACGGTATACAGATATAAGCCAAATACTTTGCATAAAATGTCAAATGTGGCAATTCTAGGCATGATCCATTTAAAAATTAAGCACTATATGCACATCTTGGCAGCATACACTTGTGCTTGAGTGTTGTTTTCTCATGCAATTATTCTTGCAATTAATCCATCTACACACAAATATTCTTCTCGCTCATGAGCTTTAAAGTGTATGTCCCGAGACAGCGAGATTTTTGCAATAATGTAAGCCTGAGGATTTCTGCTACAGGGTTCAATTATAACTGAGTAAAGGCAAACTGTTCATTTTTGTCTCCAGGCTGTAGCTTTAAAGTCACAAATCAAACAGTAATCCCCTAGCTGCCACAAACCACAGATCAGACTGTCTTTTCACTTGCCATGAATGGGCGCAAACAGAACATACTCAAGAGTAGAACAAAACCACAAACCAACAGCCATCCGTTACAGAGCACCAGGGTCAGCTGCATTTATCTGATGACTCTCATACAAGGTTTCACACTCAGCAAAGTCTGAAGGACTTGTTTTGGAGACCTGCCAAGCATTAATAGTTTGAGACTATATACATATTAACAATATTCAGCAAAATCAGTTCCAAAATATTATCACTCTGCTGGTAAGTAACTCTGAATGGATAACAGATTAACTTTAAAAGCTTTAAAATCTCACATATCCCCTCCAGATTCTACAGAACTATCAATGCCATCAAACTAACGTAATATCAAACGTAAGCTGTTCCCTCAAATTTAAGAACCCACAAACACAGGCTATGGCTTTGCAAACAATAGTCCTTGGGACAACACATTGTCTCCCTCTTTTGACTTAGACACAGTATTACCCTGTTTGATGAAAGACCAAACCAACCCTGCAGGAAGACACAGTTTAAGATGTAGCCTGTGTTTTAGAACATTGTAGATGGTCTAAACTGGTTATTTGCTGTTCCAAAATGGTTATTAGCTGGTCCAAGGTGGTAAGGTGGTAAATCATCTAGGAACAGCTCATTAGGGTGGTCAGGCTGGCTTTTTGGAATATGGTAGCTTTTTAGACAGCAACTGAAAAGCTTAGACCACCTAATGACCAGCTTGGACCAACTAGAGACCAGTTATTTTCCAAAACACAGCTCCAATTTAAGATTGATTTTCCAATAGAAAAACATATATATATAATACATAAAATAATCAAGTAGATAAAATGCACAGCTCTGTCATTTTCTTGTATTTAAAGTAATGGTATAAATACAAGCCAATGTAATACGCAGCTCAGGCTAGTCCTAAATGGACTGTCCATTGTTTGGGCTTCTACAAAGTCTCTCGTGAGACAATCAAAGCACGGAGGACAATGTCCTAACCATAAACATAACATAAACAGAGTGCAACTGTGCGTTGAAACAAAGACCAAAAAAGAATGTGATATATGCATCTGTATTGTTTATTGTACGTTAATCGAATTTACTTACGAGATTTCTTCCTCCACTTCCGATATATCAGCTATAATCACAAATATAACCAGGGCTGTCCCGATTCCAAACATCAGTATTCGGAATTCAAAAGACATGACTTGACCGATATGTGCGGTTCTATAGATGCGTTGAACTATAAGCGCAATAGAAATCTGTTCTTCTTTCACACTGCTTCCTTACGCAGGGCAACGCATGTAATGTTCCTCCGTCTCCTCGACAAAGCCGGACCATTCTAACTGGCCGTGCAGATTAGCGAACAGTTGTCTGCATTAAACATCACGTCCATCAGCTTCTTCCACCTTCACTAAAGTAGTGTAGAGATGAGGCAAACGTGAACGTCCTGTCTTCTCTTCTACTCCTGCCGCTACTCCTCGGAGATCTGGTGGGTGGCAGTTCCCTTGAAACTTTGCCTGCAAGGTGCATAATCTCACATGTGAATGTTATGCGTTCAGTTGCCGCGTAATTGGTATATAGTGGCGGAAGGCGTGGATTTGGAATTGAATATGAAATATGATTCCCCCTCTCCATCTTGCTCTCTTTGTTTCTATTTGACAAAGACACAGACGCTTGGTTCTCTACAGTGAGGACTTTCCATTGACTTCTATTGTTTTTAGATTGAGCTAATTGTATTTTCTAACCTCTAATCCTAAATCCTTGGCCTAACCAGGTGCGACGCGACGGGGTTACAGCGACAAGCCATTTGTCCACATTGCCAATCAGAACAGTTCCTTCCGTCTGCGCGCTTTCTCGTGCTGCGCAACCAGAACACCTTTTATTTTCACGACTTTCCTGTTGTTATTTAGGGCGGCATGCTTTTCATCATTTTCTTTGTGGAACTTTAGGGATTTGTCATATGATTTCCAATATTTCTCATCTTCCACAGTCAGCCTCACCTGTCACCTCATTCATGTTTAATGTTTAATATGCACGTCGAGGAGCGTTAATTCTGTTCAATGAGAGTTTCGTGTAGGCGGAGCTACGCAACGCTGCTGTAAATGCAACATTTTATCTATTTCCTGTTAATGTGCGAGACTTCCGTTTCATTTGCCGCTTTATAAATAACTAGAAGTAGGCCTATAACAGAGTTCAGTAACAGTAACACCTTTTCCTAACAGTTTGTTTATGATTACAATACCCTACTAAATAAAAATTATATTATAACAAATAATAGTTTGCAATTTGAGTTTAATTTGAGGGCGAGAAATTTCTCATGCAGATTTCACAGCAGGTTACAGTTGATCACAATGATTTGTCACAAAAACAGAAAGCTGCTTAGTTTGAAAGAAACTTCTGTGTGAGCTGTGCTTTATACATTACTACACTATTGACAATACATGTTTGTTTGCTTTTTTGCCGGTGAAATTTCGCTGCAATTTTGAAAATTTGACTGCACATTACAAGAATGTTTTTGTACAGCTAATATGACAGGAAGTGGCTGACAAACCTTGCACATTACAGTTAAAAATGTCTGCCCCAGCTCTTACATTAAAATATTGTGGATGTTGCCATATATTTACAGTATATGGAAAAAACAGTAAGTGCTGTATGTTAGCTAGTATACACTTGCTCATCGCCTTGCAGTCACAGCTGGTTAGAAAACAAATTTAATTGCTGGAGGTCACCGACACTGTAGGGACATTTGGTCATTTAACCCCCGTCTCTGATTTAATTGAAAGGTAGTAAAACTTTAATTTGCTGGTTGTTTCAGTGATCTACAACCCTATACAATTAGGCAGCATAATTGTTTTTTCAGCTAAGATTGACTGGTTATCATGATCACTCACCAAGTGTTTCACAACACCAGATGTTATGAGAGGTATTAAAATTTGCTGTCTTTTTAAGAGTGCACCCAGCAGACATAACTGGAAAAAAGCTGACAAAATATTACTTACGAAGAATGTGCATGACAGTTTTCACCGTCTTCCAGGCTCAGGAATATACTCAAACAGTCCTGGCATATCATTTCTAAACCTACAAATGAAGAAGATTCTCGCACTGTGAAAGATGTACTGTTTATATCACAGTTTCCTGTCAGGTCTAACACCCTCACTGCTTATCAAAATATGCTTGTGTAGGCAATTGTAAGTTTGTATTAGAAAATACTGATATAAAGATGGGATTCATGGGATTTTTAGTCCATTTATTATATTTGTATGATTCAAATATCATAATACATTGCTGTCATACCATCACCGCATGCATATTTAGGATGAACCTAATACTGTTTTTAGAAATGGAACAATATACACATAATGATAGTAAACTGAAAGTGTCCTATACTGTACATCCAGCCTGTTAACTGATTGTTCATGATCATTTATGAATTTCTGCATAAAGTTCATCTTGCCATTAAACTAAAGGTCTTTGCACAAATTCTCATCCTAAATTTGCGCATGTTAAAAAATAAATACGACCTCACATTGTGTCAATCACATTTACACACTGCCTCCAAAACTTTCATCCGTTATAAAAAAAATTTGGACCAGGTTCGATTTTCTGCGCTTTCGCATCCATAGAAAGCATTTTGATAGGAAAGGATGATGAATACGAGAAAGAAAAAAGTATACGATAATTTCGGACTCAGTGTGCAAGGACCTTAACTTGCTATTTTGTCAGCATAAGATCTGTGATTTTCTTTCTTTGTCAAAGTTTTTAATATATTGGCAAATGAGCCCACAAAACATTGTTTTGTGCCCACAAACCAATAGTGAATTTCTAAAAGAAGCAGAAGGAATCTTATTTGAATCATTCTGATACATTTGTGTGCTTCGTGCTGCCAGAGATGGCCTAGAAATGGTGGTGTCCGTGGAGAAAAGAGTAAGGGAAGGAAAAAGGGGGTCATCTTTCTGCCATATTTTTTAATTTGTCCTCACAATTGCTTTATAGGGAGTCTGTATGCATGATGGGTTGTGAAAACCTTCTAAATAGCATTTTGTTTATGTGTGAGTGTTTAATAGGCCTACTGTCTGTCAGTGAAAATGATATCTTAAAGGTTCTTTATTATTGGCATCCCTGCTGAAAAAAAACAATAGAGGCCATCAGAGAATTTGTAATGGTGTTACTGGTTATAATGGGAATTGTACTGGTTTTAATGGAAACTGTAATGGTGCTTGTTGGTCTCTACTTGTAATTGGTTGCCTTCTATTGGTGGCTTGTTAAAACCACTAAATCCTAATGGACCATGTCCCAAAACTCAGGAATCCATTTTTAGTGGTTTTAATAGTTAAAAGTTGATGGTTTGTAATGTTTATAATGGTTTTTGTATGGAAATCATTAGAATTCATGTGATGGTCTCTATTGTTTTTTTCAGCAGGGATATGGTTCCATGAATAACCTTTAACATCCATAGAACTTTTCTATTCCACAAAAGGTTCATTATAGTGAAAAAAGATTTTTTAAATGTTCTTCACAAAAACCGTTGTCACTTCGCATCATAACAGCAACGTAGAAACGTAGCAAGGACATCAGTAAATAGTCCATGTGACATCAGCGGTTCAACCATAATTTTATTAAGCTATGAGAATACTTTTTGTGCGCAAAGAAAACAATAATAACATAATTTATTCAACAATTCTTCTCCCCGAGTTACCGTCTTCTGCCATTTTGGAGAGTACCCCAGAACGTAATCAACGTAATCAGCGTTGTTTATGTTCAGCATGTGCGCGCTTTCAGCATTGTTTACGTTTAGCATGTGCGCGCTGTCTACTGAAAGTACACAACACTGATTACGTTGATTATGTTCTGGGGTACTCTCCAAAATGGCGGAAGATGGTAACTTGGGGACAAGAATTTAATAAATTATGTTATTATTGTTTTCTTTGCACACAAAAAGTATTCTCGTAGCTTCATAAAATTATGGTTGAACCACTGATGTCACATGGACTATTTTACCGATGTCCTAGCTACGTTTCTGGACCTGGGAACATTGCAGTTGCATTGTTGTCTACGGAGGGTCAGAGAGCTCTCAGATTTTATCAAAAATATCTTAATTTGTGTTCCGAAGATGAACGAAGGTCTTATGGGTTTGGAACGACATGAGGGTGAGTAATTAATGACATAATTTTAATTTTTGGGTGAACTAACCCTTTAAAACTGTCTATGATGGACGCGATAGAACGACTGTTGCAAATTAATTTGTCCTTCATGTCAGAAGTAGCGCGGCCATTTGAAGTAGGGTCAGAAATAGAACGGGACATCGTTTTACTGTCGGGAATTTGTCCTGTCGCGTTGCGCTGCATCCAGTATAAACTGACTGTTCACTTGGGGAATCAAAAATGGTTCTATGTCATCGCTGCGAAAATCCCCTTTGGAACGCCAGTACTAGAGTAGTAAAGTGAAATAAGTGAAAAAGTAAATCAAATTCAGAATAACCGTCTTAAAAGGTATTTCAAAAAGTTTGTAGGTCTTTTGTCATCTTACCAAACTTGGACCAGGCTACTGAAGCTGTCGGAGAGTCAGCGGAGCTGCCTGCAAATAAATGAGCAACATTTAATGTCAGTGAGTCACAGCAGTTCTTGAATGCCTTGAGCCAATATAATTCATCTGCTGCAACATTAAGGCAGAAAATAGTGCTCATATTTCCACCGGCTCAGTGTGCCATTGCACCGGACCCAGTTTAGCCCTGCGTGTGCAATGTGTATATCAAGTTATCCAATGGAAAATGACCATGCTCCATATCCAATCTGCTTCTAAGGATTTCATGAAGGCAAGCAATGGGTTTTTGTAATGTTTTTAAATAATCTCCTCCTGTCTCCACACACACACACACACACACACACACGCACGCACACACACACACACACAGAGTGCTCAACTCTCAGCCACAGGGAAGGGAAATACTTTTGCAATTTAATTTTTATGTAAGATGGTAATTTGCAACAGTCCAAAGAATAAGTGAAAAATGCTTTGGAGGAAATCTGACACTTTTTTTTCTATTTTCTTCATCTGAAAAATCTCTTTCCTGTATACAAAAGTATACTAAATTAAAATTAGAGAATATTCTGAGCATTCAACATTTATTTAATATCCAGATTGTAGTTTACTTTTGTTTGCATTTTTGGAAAAAAAATCCTTTGGTTTTGATCATAAAGCATCAAGCCCCTTGTTTTTTCCCTAAACTCAGTCTGTATTTGAGCATTTGAGCTGCTCTCAACATCTACTTTGAACCGAACATCAAAAATGTACAACACAAAGAGCCAACTGACAATTCACCCCTCCTGCTTCTCTCTCAAATATTGAGTGCCATTTGAAGAGTGTCGGGGGTATTTTTGATTTATATTTGTGACACAGCAGGGTTTATCTTCAGCTGAAGACGATTAAGTTGTTTGATTATTATGGACAACTTGAGCAGTGGTTCCGAAGGATAATTTTCAAAACCATAAATTCAGCATCTTTTTTTTCAGTTAAAGCACTGCAGCAGAACATCGACTCTCTTTTGAATGACTTATTTACATAAAATATTCTGTGCATTTTCACACAAACACATCAGTCTCCTGAGAAATTAGGCCTTGTAATGAATCATCAAATTAATTATGCACAGTTTGATGGGATAGCCAAAGCAGTGATGGATTATTATGTGAAACAAAGCGAAACAGATGCAATGAGCATAGAAACGTACACACGACACATGCCA